TTGGAGACAGCGATGGGGACGGCGTCAGCCACCAGAGAGCCACCATTGCCCCTTGAGAGAACAGGAGCGGGAGTCCTCAGCTCCCCGCCAACCTCCCACGTGAGACCACTGGCATCAGGAGAAGGGGACACACACCATGGGTCCCCGGGATGGAAAGACCTGACTTGGCCTCACCTTGCCCCCAAGCAGCAGAGTAACCCCCTTACCTGTCCTGCCGATGCCAGCACTGCAGTGCACCACCATGGGGGGTCCCCCGGGGTGACCCCTAAAGCGGGGTCCCAGGGCGCTGACTGCCACCCGCTGCTGCTGCTTCACGGCCCCCAAGAAGTCAATGAGGGTGGCGGCAGAGGAGGGGACGCCATAGTCCGGCCAGCTCAGGTACTGGAAATGGGACACCAGCCGCCGCTCCCTGGTCTGGGGGGAAGCAGGGGGGTTAGACCCTCTCCCCACGGTCACAGAGGTCCTCTGGCACCCCTGGGCCATTGCCTGCGGCCACGCACCTCCGAGCTGTGGATCTCCAGGATGGTTTTCTTGTAATGGTTCAGGTTCTCCACGCCCAGGTTGGTGATGGTCAGGGCCCCGAAGCAGACCTGGAAATCCTTCTCCAAGGGCCAGTACTGGCCACACTTTCTCCTGCCTCCCTCTTCCAGCCTGAGAGTGGAAGGACAAGCTGGTGATGTCCTCCTCGCCTTGCTAGGGACAAGCTCCATGCCCACCAGCCCCTCGGGGCCTCCACGGGGACCCAACAGTCCCACTCCAAAGGAGTGTCCCTACCCTGTGGGGCCCCAACACTTTGCAAAGAACAGGGCTTTGCCCTGCCCCGGGCACTCACCGCGTCGTCATCACGATCACCAGGACGTTTTGCTCCCACACCATGCGCCAGAAGTCACTGTAGGTGTTCTCCAAAGGCCCTGGGGGAACCAAAACCTGATGGCTTTGGGCAAGCCCCTTCACACTCCTCACCCTGGGGAGCTGCAGCCCCTTCCCATGAGGGCCAACCCCAGCGTGGACCCCAGCTGCCACCAGTTTGTCGCCTCCCAGCACCAAGTCCCTATGGCTGAGCACTGTTACCCCCCTTCTCTGTCCCCCACCGCTTTATCTCCGGGCTGACAAAATCCTCCCCAGGGGCTGGGGGCCATACCCTGCGTCCCGATATAAGCGTTCCTCTGCTTGTAGCCATCCATGAAGCTCGCGTTGATGTAGTCGGTCAGCTGGGCAGGGAGGGAAGAAAAAAAACAGGCGGAGCATGAGCCTCTGAGACCCCGCAGCGGCTCTGGGCAGGACCCTGGGTTCCCAGCCAGGCGGGCTCACCTCCAGGCGGCTGTAGGGCTTGGTCAGCTTGACACGGGTCTGGTCCAGGCAGGGCACATCCCCGTACCGGTTCTTCTCCTGGTTGCAGGGTGCCCTGGGAGGTGGGGGAGAGGGAAGCAGGGATGTTTTCCAGGGAGGAAGGAAAAGGCAGCATCTCTCCCTGTGCACAAGTCTCCTGTAGCCTGGGCTCTGCTGCCATCACCTGGCCAAAGCCTCAGGAAGAGGAGAACCGGCCAGGTCCCGGTCCCTGCTGTCCTGTCCCTTCCAGTGTCCCCCTCCTCCCTACCCCTGGGGGCTGCAGGAGCCGCAAAGGGGGCTCGCAGCATCCCTAGGCTGGGGGTCTCCAGTGCCAACCCAAAGAGGACACCGCCGAGCAGCAGAAGCACGAGGAGTGGGACACCCAGCTTTTTTGGTGTGAAAGGGGACCCCCACACTGGCCCGCACTCCACTCCTTACCCCCCTGACTCACAAAGAGCAGACGAAGGTGCCAGCTGGGCTCCTGCGCCGAATATCTTCGTACTCCTCATAGATGCCCCGCTTCTGCTTGTGGCTGACGTGCTCCAGCAGCTCCTGGAGGGTGAGGGACTTGGGCCCGGGGACGTGGATGGAGCCGTTATCTTTGGGGGCCACCAGCGGCACCAGGATGAGCTCGTCCAGAGGGTCGGGGTGCCCGTTTTGCTGGGGCAGGAACCGGCAGTTCCAGCTCAGAGGGTCCAGTTTGAGGGACCCCCCCAGGTACTCGGGGAGGCATTCCCGGGGCAGGTGCTCCTTCAGCTCCGACATCTTCACCATCTGCACCTGTGAGAGGAAAAGAAGGGGCAAGGGTGACTCCCAAAAGGATGGAGAGGATGGGTAAAGTCCAGCCTAGGGAGACGTCAGGCTGGAAATGGGCTTCACCAGCAGAAGAGATTTTCTGGGGCTTCTTTTGGCCAGATTTGGGCTCAGCAGAAGGAGGTGAGGGGCACACGATGCTTACACTGCCCCATCCCGAAGGGAAAACAGCCTCAGCTCCCCCTGCCGAGGGTCCCGCACTGGGGGGCACCCACGCTCACCCGCTCCCGCAGCTTCTCCTTCAGCAGCAGGCTGATGATGGAGTAGGGCACGCGAAACCACATGGGCGCTCCCACGATGAAAACCTTCTTCAGCCGAGCCGGGAAGGCGCCCTGCGGGCAGGAAGAGGTCAGACCCAGCCCCTCTCTGGGCTGGGACACATCCTAGCTGAGGTGACAACCGCCAAAAGGGACCCCAAGGTGGCAACGGCGCACCCGAAGCGTGCCTCGCAGCCCATGGCCTCGCTTGTTCTAATGCTCTGATGCACAAATGATTTCCTTGGAATTAGGTAGGCAGAAGGCTTGGCTCCGCAGGGGACTGGTGAAGCCTGGGAGCTGGGATTTAAGTGGAGAACACACCCCGGCCAATATTTACTGTTATTTCTTTTGGTGGTTTTTTTTTTTTCCGGAGAAGGGAGGAGGCATGAAATGCCAGCACGATTAAAAAACAATTTGCATCTGTTTTCCCAAAAGCGCTGCCAGCAGCTGCGAGAGGAATCCGGCACGGGGACAGCTGATCCCATCCCACCCGCAGGCCACCGCAGCCTCCCCGAGCTCCTGCGGGGCTGGAACCGGTGCTCTACAGCAGCTTCTGGTGTGAGAATTTATGCCAAAACCACAGGATTTTACGTATGACCCCAGCCAGCGAGTCGTCTCTGGCCATTACCTTCAGCAGGTTGAGGATCTTCTTGCTGAGGTCCAGCTCGAAGTTGGTGTACTGCGAGCCCGCCATGTCGTAGATGAACACCAGCCCATTCCTCTGGGTTTCAAAGCTGAGAGAGGGGGAAGAAAAAACGTCAACCCCGCAACACCCAACTGCTTGGCTCCTTCATCGGCAGCTCTGCCCCACACCACCTCATCTTTGGCTTGTTGATCCCAGAAACACCCCTGCAAAGGCCTCACAGACCTGAAGCTCACTTCTGCTGCTCCACCATCTCTTCCTACAACCCTCATTTAAGCCTGGCTCGTGTCTTAAGCCTGGCTCAGCTGCTTCGCCCGTGACAGCTAAGTTCAAAACCAGCAAAGCCTTTTGGAGGGATTTCACCAACCCCTCAGCACACAACAGCATCTCCCCTCACCCTGGGGAGGGAAGAGGCTCCCTGGGGAGCTGCTGCTGTCAGATGGGGTCCTCACCTCTCCACGGCTCGGTCCAGCAGGTAGAAGAGGGCCTGGAGCACCACGTGCTGCACACTCTTGCTGGGGTGGTGCAGCTTGGCTGTGAAGAGGGCGATGGAGGCTCCTGAGGGGTCCCGCACGCTCTGGTGAGGAAACAAGGTCAGGCTCCCCCGCCACGCAAGGATGCCGGGACAAGCTGTCCGGTTTGGGTAACCTGGGGGACCACCCCCACCTACCAGGATGGTGAACTTGCCACTGAGCAGCTCCGAGCGCAGCGGCTCCTCGTGCGGCTTCAGCTTCACAATGCCCTCCTTCAGCCGTGTCTCCTGCAGGCAGGGAGCCGGGGTGACGGCCAGCACGGGCACCCCAATCCTCCACCTCCCATCATGGCCCCATGGGGCACCCAGACCCTCCCCAGGGGAAGCCCCAGTAGAGAAACCTCCGCTCCACTGCCTCATTTTCCCCACACCCCAACTCCCAGCATGAGGAAAAGCAGCTGTGCCAAACAAGCAAGGGAAAGGTATATAAGTGTATATATCCTTTAGATGGGGGGATGCTCTGTGGGCAGCCAGCAGAGTACCCTGCAAGGGGAGGATGTGGGTCAGCGAGATCTCCATGGTGACATGGATAGAAAAAAAGGATTTTCCAGCTGGATAAAACCCGTATGAGAGGGGTGAGGAAGAAAAGAAAGCACAGGGAGGGTTTTTCTCGGGATCAGAGCTCTCACAGAGTAGGAAGCCCTCAGCAGGGGGGACCCGGTCGCACTCACTTACCCGATAGGAGTGAAAGAGCTCAATGGCCCGCAGGACATCAAACTTGCGGGCCATGAGGAACTTGACGGCCACATTCCAGGAGAGCGGGGACACATTGTACTGGCCCGTCCACTTGTTGATCTCCTCCAAGAACTGTTTTGTCGCCTGCGGGAGAGATGAGGCGTGTGTGGTGAGATGGGAGGAGGGGCACCCAAAGCAGCTTCAATGCGCTACAGGACATGGACCAGCGTGCCCAGTAAGGCCAGTTTCAGGTGGCCACAGAAGACCAGGCAAGAAGGGTTTGGTCACAAGAGCAGAGGACGGCGATGACAGCGTGAAGAGGAGGAGGAGGAGGAGGAGGGAGGGTGGGCGCCGAAGCATGGAGTGCAGGAAGGTGGAGGTGTTGGATGTCACAGCAGCGTTACCGGGAGCCATTCAGCCAGAAAAGCTCATCGGCATTAATGACTTCCGACGGGAGGAAGCCAAGGGCCAGGGTTTATCGGCAGCGTGAGGCTGGGCAGGGACAGAGAACCCCCTCAGGGGACGCTGAAGGAGCTCAGCTGCTCTGAGGGCTCTCTCCGCATGGCAGCGGGCAGGCCAGGAGGAACGCCAACGCGGCCTGCCATAGCCCAGCTCCCAGCAGCTACCACAGCTCCAACTGCCTCTGCTTGGCCAAAGGAAAAGCAACTCTCCCCTGGCCCAAATTTCTAACGATTTCTCCTCCGGAGATGGGAAAAATAAATGAGGCAATTCAGAAACCACCTTGAGTATAGAAATACGTCCTATCCAAAGGTGCCCCAAGATGATGGGATGGACATCCCGTGGTGACGGGAAGGACACCCCGAGGGGCACGGTGCCAGCGGGGAGCGGATGCACTGTGTGGTTTGGGTCTCCTTCCTCAACATCAGACCCATCGCACTTCACGCGATCCCAGCACCCATCATGATGGCCCTGTTTCTGCAAGTGACAGCGGTGCCACAAGTGAAATAGTCTGCAGGCAGGCGTTTTGAACAGTGCCAGTCTTTGGAGAGCTGGCGTCACTGAGGTCCCCGCTTTGCTGCGCTGGGGCAGGGTGGTGACAAAACCCCCCTCCGTGACGCAGGGGAAACAAAAACCCCAGGCACCTGTGGGGACACAGGGCATGAACACCCCCTGCTCCTTGAGATTTTATTCCCCTGGAGATGGCAGTGCCACTCCCGGGAGCGGTGCTGATAAGAGGGAGGTGTGGTGGTGGAAAAACCCTGGGAACACTGCATTTCCCGAGCACCAGCGCAGGATGGGCACCTCCAGCTCTGGGTGAGCCCTCCCTGTGGAGCACAGTGGTTTTGGGAGCCTGGGGTATCCGCACCAACCCTCCTGGAGAAACAAAGAATGTTTTAAAAGAGAAAACCAAGCAATAAAATGGAAAATTGACCACTTGGACCCTTTTGCCTTCGCAACACAGCCCCCGAGGCCAGCAAGGTGAGGGGATGCGCTGTTGCACTCTCGGCCAGCCCAAGCATCGAGGCAGCCTCCGGCAGCGCACCCAGCCCCGGAGCAGCACGGAGCCCGGCGGATGCGGCTCTGGGTGCGGATGTGGCCCTGGGTGGGCATTCCCGGGGATGAGGATGAAGGAGCGGAGAGGCAGAGGCTGGCTCTGGCCATCCGACGTGCCCCGGTTGGGTTATCGCTCC